ACTGGAATTTTGAAGGGATGTTTCCTGACAGTCCTGGCGGCCAGTTTGAAATTCTTTTAGCTAGAATCATCTGTCGGAAAAAGCAGTGCGACAAAAATCTGGGGGAGACTGTGCAAAAAACGCATCTTTGGACAGGCAGCCGTGCGTTGGCCAAATTATTTATTAATAGGTGATATAGGAACCAGAGTGGTATGAGCTCCAAAAAACGGAAAGGGTATGCAAGAAACTTTAGGAAAACCAGGAAAAACTTTGCAAGACGTGTTATCGCGCTTCATTGACACTGAAAATTTCAAAAAAAAAAACCAAGAACTGTCTTAATATAAAATTTCAAACGGTTTACAATCGATAATTATAGACACAGCGAATGAACTGCAACTGACACTTATCCTCATCGGTCTCTTATATGGAGCAAATACGTGATTTCTGATTTTGACTAAATATTGTGTCATCAACAAATTTTGTTATTAACATTTTAGTACAAATTTAGGTTGACGTATTGGATCTAAATGCTATAGGTACAGAAAAACATGCCTCTGAGCAAAATCCGTTTCGTTTCTTAAAGCTGAATACGGACAGAGTCACACCTATGGATAGAAGTGGGAATCATCAGTAAAGGCTCCTTCTAATCATTCATTGGATGTGTGCGCCTAAGATCAAACTGAGGATAAAGTTTGGCAGCGAAGAAAGGTGGAAAATCATGAAAAAAGAAGATTAGTTGTTTGAGAAAAATATGAAAGATGTTACAACGAAAACTTTAAATAGATTTCTTCTCCTCCTCCTGCAGTTAAGGTCTCAAGCTCACTGGCAGATCTCGGCAAACCGCTTAATGACTCTTCGCTTGTATGGCATAGAGAAATGTTAAAGCGCTGCACTGTGCTGGTGAGACCAGCATATGCGTTAGCTCACCTAGGAGACTCGGCTGTTTTTCATTTGAGATAGCGGAAATCCCTGGCTTCCTTTCTGAGGCAAAACTGGTGGCGTTGATAAGTTACAAAAATAATCAAATCTTAATTTTAGTGATTTTTTTGCAAGATATTTTTATCAAAAACTACGGGAATTAAAATCACTGAAACCAGAGAAAACTGAAATCGTAAAAGCCAAAAAAACCACTGAAATTGTTCTAAGACACTTTTTTAATAAAATATGACAAAATTGCCTAACGCTTCTTCCATCCCAGGCTATTGGGGACCTGGTTGTGATTTTCTACCATTTTGTAGCTGGGCTATATAAACAATCGTTGGAAATGGTTATGGTTGCGCGGACGTTGCTGATTTCGAAAGCGACTGTACTGCAGTTTTCTTGGTCCACTGCGGCAAGCGCGAGAAAAATGCTGCCATGATGTGTTTTTTTTGGATCTCATGATTAGCCGTCGTCAGCTTGTCACCCTGCAATGTGCCGGAGACGAAACTTGGTGGCTGATGTTGAATTAGCCAATGCAAACAATTCGGCAAACTGCTGTGGACAGCCGCTTTCACGTCTTCCTGCATAATGAACAGAGCTGCAAGGATTGCTAGTGGATTGAAAGTGCAACTGATTCCTGAATACACTATCAGGACGTCGACCAGTGTTGTATCAGTTACGTCAACGATCAACAAACGTGTGCACATGGGTGTTACATAGAAGATCAGTGTTATCACACATGAAATGTTCATTGTTCGAGTAAGTTTACGCTGACGGCTTTCAAATGCTTCAGCCGCTTTCGACCCCTGAAACTGACCATCTAAATAAAGATTAGCTGTTTACATACAGTTTATCACTGTACTTTAAAAGTTCCAGGTGGCATTTTAATTTTATCGCAAGTGAATCCCCTGTTCATGCATTTTATGCTATAACAGTTGCAGAAAACGCATATTATAACGACCGTGCCTCTATGTTTACGTATGTGTGTATGGCTGCTCGTTCCGGGTTTTTGACTCAAGAACCAGAAAAGCAACGAGTCCAAAATTTTAAGAATATTTCCTTCTCCTACGTGGGATCCTTCAGCCTTCACGTATACCTGGGTCTTATATGCGATCGCGCGAGCATTTTGGTACGAAACTCACTAATCGGGAGCCAGGAAAGTTAGAAACCAAAAATTTTGAGAGGACGTTCCTCGCCCATGCGCTCCACAAAAATTTCAAATATAGTTTTTACGTACGCCCAGATCTCACACACAGTCAGTGTGTGAGGTTTTGTCAGAAAATATTCTGATGAAAAGCCCGAGAGAACGCTGATGTTTTATGTGTTTCTGCTAATGTGTGCAGCTATACTAATTTAAACGCATCTTCCAAATATGCCTAAATCTCACACTACGAAGATATTGTTTTATCGGCAAGAAATTTTCTGCTTTAGAGATCGACAAGGTGGTAAGCTTGAAATTTAAACCGATGGGTCTTTTTTTAGTATACAGCCTTGGAATTTTGAATTCAACTTTGATATCTATCTAAGCCACATTTGCGGAAATGTAAAATTCCTCGTCGTAAGTTTTTAATTTCGAAAACAGACGAAATAGCCCAAATTATCAAAGGATAATACAAGCTTAAATTCAGCCCTCATGTATGCTTCTTCACGTGTGCGTAATTTTTTTCACGGGAGGGGCAGTTGCGGGGTGGAGGGAGGACCAGAATTATTTTTGCACATACAAATGAGCAAATAGCGGTAATTCTAACCTCCGCTGGACGAACTGA